ACAAAAAACAAAAGTTTGTCCATCCACTCTGATATTTTGCCGAGTTTCTAAGGTTAGGCGAATTGGGGGCGGAGGAAAACCGTTAGTATTAAAATAATTAAATCCAAAAAAACACGTCACATATTTTCCCAACAGACCACATCACGTGCGATTAGACCCACAAGAAGGCTACTAAGCACCTATATTTCAAACACGTCAGCATCATATTCCACGTAGACCCCATACCAAAAAGCTCCTCTCGCAACAATCACTTCTCGCAACAAACACTTCTACCCTGTAACGTTAGCCCACGTGTCCAAGATACCACACGGGTAACGCGATTTCCAACGTGCTGAAAAAGTAACCAGCTAAACCAACCACCAATTAAGGTTAAAAAAGAGGATGACCGATTTCGGTCTAGTGACATTGAACTTTTACGTATTTGAGCCTTAGAGTTTATTTATCTCCTTCTCATATATACCTATAAATAATATCAATATTATTCAAAAAAATTAAGGTTCAAAAGAAAGTAATTTAATTTTTTAGATAAAAAATTTAATTTAAATTTCATAAATAAAAAAATCAATATTAAAAAAAAATGTTAACAATTTATAATTTAAAGGATTAAGGGTATGTTTGGTGAAATTTATAAGAGTTTTAATTTTTTGATATTATTTATATTTCATAAATTAAAATTTTTTTTAAAAAAATTTATATTTTTTAATTTTTTTTAATCTTAAAAAGATTTTAAACGATAAATTTTGAAAAATTTTAAATTTATGTTTTTTATAAACATTTTTTTATTTATTTCTTATTATTTTTTTATTTTTAAAAATAATTTTTAAATTTTTTTAATAAAAATTTAAATTTATCACTTATAAATAATATAAAAAAGAAGTAAATGTTTTTATAAGTTTTATTAAACGTGTTTTAAATGAAGAAGAGTTTTTAAAGTATTAGTGAATCTGAACCTTTACTCAATTAATTGAAACACTTTAAAATTTAAAAATAAATTATTTAGATCCAAAAGTTCAATTCGAATACTAAAAGAGTTTTATTTGGTAAGATTCGATAAAATTTAATTTTATATTAATCAAAACTTAATATAAGTTTTAGATATTAAAATATTAATACAATTGGGAAAAAGTAACCAACCACAGCCACGACAAGCAGCAACCCAAGAATGAAGAATCTCCTTCACCGGCCGCCTCCATCGGCGTATCTGATTTCTCCTCCTTTGGCGGAGAATCACCCAATATCTGACACGTATGCCCAGACAAAGCTGGGATAAAATCGTCTCTTCTTACTCGTGTCCAGTTTTCATTTGCTTAATTATTGAATTTGATGAAAGGGGGTAACACATGAGCAAATCTCAATGATTTAGGATAATTTTTTAGCCAAAAAAAAAAAAATTGCATGTAAACACGCGTAAAAACGTGCTCATCATATAAAGAACGAAATTTTTTGGCATTTTGCTTTTTATTATTATTATTATATGAATTTTTGGTCACCAAAAGTTAGCTTTTAGGTAAATAAGCATTTGAATGAATAACTTTTAAATTCAAATAAAAAATTTTAGCTTATCAAGCATCTTATATTCCCAAATCTCAATTAGGAGAAAATGCAGAAACTTAAATAAGAAATAAGTATTTCTTGACTTTTTGGTCAATATAAAAGACATTAAATATTAGGGATTCATTATTTTTAAAGTTCTAAAGAAATTTCTTAATTTTTGTTTGGTTTCATAACTTGACCAAAAAATAATCACTATTATCAACTAAACAAACC